CCCCCCCCCCCTCCCCTGGCCCAAAACATTCTCAAACGAAGACAAACGTTCATGTCACTTCACACCTACCGCCCCCGCATCGCACAACCACACCAACACCACAATCGTCGCGTTATTCTAGGTGTAGGTCAGCCCTGACATCACTACACTCAGACGACGTTGCTGCTGCAGCTGCTGCACTCGGATTCACTCCCGACCTTGCAGCAGACGCTGAATAGGTCTGCAAGAGCCACTCCCCTCCAGAGCGACGTTCGAGGCTTGATTGCTCCGCCACCACCGTAGGTGCGCGAAAGAGCCCGATGCGTCTACGGACAAGCCCTCGTCGATACGTTTCCAAAACCACCATTATTTGGTGTTGGCGCAAGATTGGTCGTGGAGCAATCCACCATTACATGGTGTTGGCACAAGCTTGGGTGTGGAGCAATCCACCATTATATGGAAATCCACCATTTTATGGTGTTGGAACAAAAGCTTGGCTGTGGAGCAATCGAGCTTGGTCTAAGGGAGGGCATGCCATCTCCCCGCCTCGAACGGTAAAGCAATGCAACGGCAACGTGCGCTACAGCACGGGCTCCATATCGATTCCCTTCTCCTCGAGAACTCTCAGGGCACCGTTTCTCATGTCCACCTGGCAGCAGCAGCACCAGCAGCAGCAGCACCAGCACCAGCACGAACAAAAAATCCCGGCAACGTGAAGGTACGTACAACAGGCGAGGGGTGTCATTTTGGTTGCGTTTTTATCGATGGTGGGTGCGACAGCTGTGTGAGTTGTGTGTGTGTGTGTGTGTGTTCTTCCCATCTATCCTGGCGCCAGCCTACCAGTACTCCATGTTTGACGTAGCAGCCAAGAGGGAGGTCACACAAAAGCTTGTCAGAAGAAAATCAAAAGGCGCACGCACACATCGCACTCACGGGGTCCCAGATCATGGCCTTTTCGAAGCATTCCCGTTTTCAACCGCGCCGATATAATCATTTTTTCGCTTGTTTCGGGGTTGTTTGGTTGCTTATTTCGGTTACCGATAACACGCGACCATGCGAGCGCTACCGCGAGCAATTGCCCAAAACAGAGCATAGAAGCAAGCATGCCTTGAATCGGCCAAAAACTGGGATGCCGCAACCCGTGGCATGGGTACACCTAGACTTCCACCCGGGATTCAAAAGCTTAGGGTGGGAAAGCACCCCACTGGACACTTACCGCACAGACAACATTACATACATGTGCCTCTACTGTCCAGCCTCGCAAGTGTGGTGCAATCCCCGTGACATCCGCCGATAGACACAGACATGGGGAAAAATATACCCCGCTAGCCACAGCTTCCCCCTCTAGTATTCGGCCTTGCAAGTGGTACTACTCCATCCACCCTCCAACACGGCGGTGCATGGGTAACATACAAATCATAGCACAGGCCGAAACCGTTCCAAAGCTCCCCCCTCTACTAGCCGGCCACGTAAGTACCGTATAGCTCTCGCTCACCTCCCGATAGATTGACAGTGAATGGGGTAAGCGATGAACCGTACGATACTAAGAGCGTGGTATGAAACTTGCCACGTGCCACTTTCACCGCTCACACACGATAGACCTACCTCTACTATCCAGCTTAGGAAATTTCACACAAACCCCGTGTTACCGTCCTCTCGATGAGGTTCCATGGGGAAAAAAAAATAATTTTACACTGTGAAAAGCGTGGTATCAAGACTTAAACTTGCCTCGTAAGGGTGTTCCCCAAGCGCGTACTCGGACGCCCCCCCGTACTCCTTGGGGATCTGGTCGTTG